GGCCGAACTGGATTCAGCCAATATCTATGACTTTGTGCGCTTCATAAGAGCTACGAAGTGGTTCCATTTTTAGGGTAAGAGGAGGGATATATGGAGTCTCTAAATATGGCATCACAACGAGCCCATGGTAGCCTAAGTGTGCCCTTTTTCTGAGGAATGAGGGCAGCCGAGATAACCTAACCAAACCTAACCTAAACGGAAATATTCTCATTTTGACAGGGTAATTTACTTAACAAGGCCAGAGGGAAAATAAAAACACCAACAACGAAATTTAGATAGTAAATACCACCACTTTCTAAAAAGTGGTATGAAATCTAGAGATGTTGTAAAGATCTCTTTACCGTCTGGTAATTACCGTAATTACCTGTATTTTGCTTCTCATCTTAAAGAGTTCCACATTCTTTACTTTCTAAACCTTAGCGCCCAATTCGTTGTCATTTTCTTCAGATGCAGACCTATGAAAGCAATATTGTGGTTAAGTTTAGATAGGCTTATAGCGCACTATTTAGACTCCATCTAATTGTCTCTATAGCGGTTTTAAAAATATTCGCCAAATACTTTTGAAGAATACTGTTGAAGTGACAGTCCGAGGCAAGAAATAAATCCGGGTCGTTCTGGTAGCGTAGACCCGATTACTTAAAATTCCGTTGCAAGTATAGTAGGCAACGCAGAACTCCTCCATAAAATTTTGAACCCCAATATTCCAGCTTCTAAATACTTCATATACAAAAAAAAAGAAGTTGTGGATGGCCCATATTTTTAAATTGGATCGATCACCCTAATGCTGGTACACTTTTGTGCTATTTACTTTTAGTTAAAATAAATATGTACATTGTCTTTTGTTTTTCTTTGCAGCAGGACAGCGTCTAACTGTAGGTGGAAAATATTATGAAAATTTAATAACATTGCGACAGTGAACTGCCAAACTGCGGCGTCAGAGCGTCATGACAGAGTCAAATGCAATTGCACAAGAATCGAACGAGTCAGACGAGGATTGCGAGGTTTACTGTGAGTATCATACGCTGCTTTCACAATTAGCTCAATGGTTGAGAGAGGTACATAATCCTCAGACTAATGAGCACTGGCACTAAACCTTATCGACTAATATTTCAAACTCTTTTTTCCAGTTCTTAAACCAGTCAATGAGTACAACATCGTTGATAAAATCAAAGAAGCCAACAAGGTGTTATTTGAAGAGATAACGACAGTAAACGACAAGACTTCCTACTCAGATGAGATTGCTGCCGCGGGCAACTTGGTGACCGATTCAGAAACTGGTGCGTCCCTACGCAAAGTGACCTTCGCGCCTAATTTAGAAACATACGAACCGGACAACGCACTCTTAGAGGCATTAAAGCTGACACGCGAATTCGAGGAGGCAGTAGCCGAAGCAAAGGAACTCGATCGCAAGCTAACAAATATTTGCGCATATCAAACAATTGTTGAAGAAGCGAACACCAACGACGAAGCGCAACCAGACGCAGACGCAGACGCAGACACAGATGCTGATGCACCTGATGCGATAGATCAAAAAGTCGCGGAAACTCTACTCTCAACAGACTTAACGGAAACAAACGCCGCGAATATGCCATCGCCAATAGACGAAAACTCAAGCGCAGTACCGGAGCCGAATGTTGAGGACGATATTGTTGAAGAGATATGTGAGGAAATTATAGTTATGGACATGGAGAGTGAGCAAGCAACGCCTGAGACATCCAATGCGCAAGTGAGTAATCCACGTCGCATGGTGAAGCTGCGCACATTTGATTGTGCAGAAGAGGATCCACCTGATACGATTGAGACAGAGCAGGACAATAAAAGTTTGATTAACCTCCTGACCTCCGATGGTGAGGAAGAGTGCTGTAGCGCTGCCACATTCGATATCGACGTGGACAACAGTGATCTCGATGTGGACGATATTGACGTGGACACAAGCACAAATGAACCGGACGGCAATGCCAATGTAGATGTCGAGGAAGCGCTTATTTCGGCCAATAACGATGGCACCAGTGCAGAGGGTTATGGCGATGATGAGGATGACGATGATGATGATGACCTCTCAATCATAGTCGCCTCCTACTTACCCAATGACTTCGAACAGAAACGCTTGGGCAGCGGTCGACGTAATGCGGCGAATAAATCACGACGTCTGCTAGCGCCATTGAGTAAACGCTTCTCATTTCGTCGCAAATCACTTGCACGCAACGCCATTGGCACAACTTGCACAAATAACGCCGAAGATGGCGTTAGTAATAGCGCTATGTCACGCATGCGCCGGCCACATCTACCACCACCGGAAGTCACCGATTTGAAGTTAAACTATCGCACCTGCTGCGAATATCGCCGTCAGTTGTCGGAACCTGAAAAGCTACCCAAATACACGGGGTACCTGTCCGAGTATGGGCTGAGTCGACAGCAGCTCGAGCTGCGTGAGGAGAGTCTGCAACGCAAGCAACGTTATGCGCTACAGCAGGCGTTGAAGGCAAACGATGCCGAAATGAATAAGATGCATGACAATGAACGCGCCTTCACCACGTGGTTGAGAAACAAAATGCGCTTCCCAATCAATAAGACGCGCAATATGTTCGATGTGAAGCGACGCAGCTTGGATGCTGGGATGGGCGGTGGCGCTTGCGGTGGTAATAGCGCAGTACGAAATGGTAGCGGAAAACGGAAATGAGAGGATGAAAGGCGGTGGCGATGGATGATAGTTAGATGGGTTTTCAGTGAAATTTTGAGTTAGTAAAAAGGTGTAGTAATCAATAAATATTTTTTGTGGTAATTTACTTGTTTTCCTCCATAAATCGGTTAAACCAGTGATTCCCAAAGTGATCCAGGTTGACCCCAACGGTTCACGGGCGACTCGACGGGGGCCTACGTCGGCATGTAACAAATATGGCTTCCACGAGTTGAAAGTGGGGGTCCTCGAAAATTTATCAGGTTTCGATAGTAAAGAATCAAAAAAAGAACCTCTTTATTTAACTAAAATTTTTTATTGAGTGGTGTATAGTGCTCTTGCTGAACTGCTGTCTGGGGGGGGACAGCCTTAAAGGCCACCTGTAGAGTAAAACGAAACGGACGTTGGTATAACACTGAGTGGGGCGAGGCGGAAATCGCTGGCGGCAGAGATTTGAGCACTTGGTGTCTTTTTAATGCCACATGATATTTAGTACTCCACCATTACCTTTGTTGAAGAGGTTCTATAATGTTGAGTTCCCTGAGGCTGAATGCTGGTTTAATTCAAGCTCTGAACTCGTACTCACACATTGCCGAATCTTCATTAATGGCTCCAAAACTGACTCTGGGTCAGAACCTGGGGACTTGTTCGAAGTTAATGGGGATAACTTTCACTTTCCGCTTGGGAAATGTGCTTCGGTCTTACAGGCTGAGGTACTTGCAATCGTCAAAACCAGGCATTGACCAGCCCTCTATCTAAGTACTTCCAAACTAGTTCGGCAATGCAAGTCTCGACTAAATTATGTTGGTAAACATAACGAGCTTGTTTTTCTCTGGGTGCCAGGTCACTCGGGAGTACCTGGTAATGAGACATCTGACCATTTGGCCACAGTTGGCTTAGACCAGGCATTCCATGAACTGCACTCCTCACTTCGGCCATCGAAGCCACCATCAGAAACTGGGTGAATACTTCGCTCAGCAATGACCGCGAGGCATCTAGGGGATGCAGTTGGACGAAACTCATGTTTCCTTCAATCTCAGAAGGTCCATCTAGTTTTTTGCTCTCGTTGAGCAGACAACTTGTTGGACTGCTGACGGGTCAGTTCACGGTGCACAAACACCTGACTGTGATAGCTGTACATGACCGCTCCATTAGCCAATCCTGCCTTGAAAAGGATGAGACGGTGTGGGGCGATACTTCTGGAGTGGGAGCACTAACCTTCTTCACGGATGGATCGAAACCGAGCGTCAGTGTTGGTGGAGGGGTGTTATGTCGAGAGCTTTCCATCAACGCTAAGTTCAGTCTTCTGAACTGAGATAGTGTATTTCAGGCAGAAGTGGCTGCTATTAAGAAGGCAGTGGAGGCACTACTCAGGAGTGCGACGACAGTTAGAGGTGAGCTTTTATTCAGATAGCCAAGCAGCTATCAAGTCCTTAAATGCGCTGGAGGTGAGCTCTACGTTTTGGGAAGTGTTATCTCTTCCATCTTGCTCTTAGTTAAATTGTAAAGGTCTCCTGTGCTTTGGGAGACCATTCGCCATTCGAGAGATGAGGAACATTTGGGGTTGCCTAAAGTGGTCCTGCTGCGATGGCCACTGTGTGATGTTGTTGATGATTGGCTGCATCGATGGCGTCTAATGCAACCGCAAAGCTCTGTAGTAGGGGCGGCAAAGCAGCAAGTTGTTCATTCGCGCGGATGGTGTTGCATTTGACTGTTCTGCCTTCCAGTATATTTTGTTCGTACAGATGGATTAGGCTTTGCTCTTGGTTAGTCGCCACGTAGAGGTTGGAGCTGGATGTACTTAGGACGAGGACGGGGAGTTCATTTGTTGCTTAGCTTCGTGAACTAGCAAATTTTCATCAGTGCGGCAGTAATGCCGCTTTTATTACGTGCCTCGAACAGGCCCTCTGCCTTTACAAAGATTTGTCAAAGAAATAAAATTATAGTTTAAAAAACTAAAACCTCCCTATTATTATTACCATTCGTACTGTCAACAGGTATGTAACTTGAGAATAGAAATCGCTGCATCTTTTAAGCGCATCAATATTACATAGTTACATCCCGAGCTAATAAAAAGGAGGTAATAAAAACATCAACCGTTTAGCGGCGACGTAAAACTTAATCTATGGTAAAACTGTAGACCGTATTTGGCATGTTATGCGTGCAACTCTGAACTTGCTGAAGAGCGAATGTTCCCCTCGCCTAAAACTAAAATTGAGAGTACACAAATGTTTTTGTACAAATGGAATATTTGTTTATATGCAAACTTATTTTAAACAAGTAATTTATAAATTTCAAATTTTGTTTAAAATTAAACACATAATTTGAATTAAAAGGATGCTTCATTTTTTTTTTTGATACAAACAATACATGGAAAATAATCTGACAATGGACTCTGAACAAAGAGTAGTGGTATGCGTTGTTCCATTCGCTCGATTACAATGCAATCCTACAAGTGCGAATATCATGTGAACATTCCGGGCTATGTTACTGTAGACGTTTTACTATGGAGCTGTAGGTTGAATGCTTTAGTGACGTGATTTCTTCGATTTGTGACCATGGTCTCGACTATCATCGCGTGAACGTTTGTGGCTACTGCTACTGCTGCTGTGATGATTGCTCTTATCCTTGCTCTTGTCTTTGTGTGATGATGAGGAGGAATGGTGTTTGTCACGACTGCGATCATGGTGTTTATCCTTGGAGCTAATTAAAAAAAAAAAATTTTAGACAAAATTTATTAGAACAGTGCAAAATCGATGATTTAAAATTTTGTGTTGGGCAGCAAAGTGAAAAATTTTGATTTAGTTAAATTAATTTAGAGTATGCCAATTCGAATGTTGAGTGGAAAAGGAATTTTGTTTTGTGTGTGTTTGCTGTTACAGTGAATAACAAACCTATGCCCGCTCGAACTGGCATGCTTGGCAGATTTTGAATGTGACGAATTTGAGGTTGAGGCAGTACTTTTATTCTTTTTACTTTGACGAAGCTGCACTTCACGATCTCTGCGACTGCAGTAAGATTACGATGTTTACGAAATAAAGAATTAAATATAGGTAGATATACATACATATTTTTGTAAACATATGTATATCAAAATCGTTAACACTTTTGAATTGGTCATATTTGTTCATACTTTTGCCCCAAGAGCGATACTACATACCTACATATCGCACACCGTCGTCAAAAGGGGAACAGCTCAAAATTACATGTTTGCCAGGAAATGCGAAAAACTATATAGCATATCGTCGTTTAAAGTACAAAACCGCGTATCAACATAATGCCAAAACCGCGTATGTGAGGTTGTATAAATTAGTAAAACACTAATTTCAAAATTATTCTCTCTGTTATGAAGCAATCGCATTTCTGGCTATTATATTTCGGGACGAATGGATAAGGTTTGAGCCAAGAGCTTCGGTAAGCAAATCCAGGCTTTTGGCAAAACATGTCAGTTACACGGTTTTGCAGAACGACGATACGCCGTTTTGTACTTTAAACGACGATATCATGATCATATGGACAAGGGAGACTTTAACTTAAGTTGTTTTAACCATTTATAACAAAAATTTGATCCAGCTTTTGCAAAGGTAAATAAAATCTCTGTGTACATTTTTAGCGCATAATTCCGAAAATGCCAAATCGTGAGTTGTGCCTCTTTTGAAAACGGTGTGCGATATGTATATTTATACATAGATAAGCTAAAATTTTTAAATTTTTTCTCACCTATGTTTTGAACTCTTCGAGTGCTTCTTTGAATCATAAGTTTTGCCATTCGGTTTGTCGTCGGTGTACTCTTGATTGCGATCTTCTTCTGCAGCTTCGCGCTCTAAATCGGACCAATCCTTTCCAGATTCCTCATCCGAGCCCAGTTCTATGTGAGAAAAAAAGTAAGTACACATCTCTCTTGTACACAATAAAATAAGCTCCTACCTTCACTATCTTCACTTTCATCCTCAGATGCCTCCGAGTATTCGGAATCTTCCTCTGATTCTTCCAAGGACTCAATATCGGTCGGCTCATATGCCTCATCTTCTTCCGATTCCTCTTCTTCATTTTCCCCTTCACTGCCCGAATCAGCATCCAAGAATGTCCAACCACCCTGCTCGAAGAAACCCTCCGGATCGTCAGTGATTGTTTTCATAATCTTTGCCCAATTCAAAGATTGTATACCCTCCGAGTAACGGATATCACAAGAACTGTGGTATAAATTACGTTTAATTAACTGATGCTTTAAATAGAGTTTATCTCAAACTTACTTCAACCACTCCTTAACGTGATCAAGCAAATTCATGGGAATTGCGTTGACCATTGCCACCTTTTTCTGATAGTCCTTGAAAACGAAAATCATGTCGAAGTTACGCAAATGGAATTGTACACGTTCGAAGTGTACCAATTCGACGTCGTCGAGAGTTATAACAAATGGCGGCCATTCTGTCAGATTTACCAAGCTGCCCGAAGTTGGCTGCAACGTAACTGTGCTACGGAATGGTGCGCCTGGGAAACCCAACTCGCGGAATGGCGTGTCGAATTCTACTTGTTGCTTAGTCATCGACTCCACTTTCTCGCAGAAGCTCTTGAATGCCGTTTTCAATTTATGACGCAACTCACGTTCAGCCTGCTCAGCGGCCAAATCATCACGGTCGTGCATATGCTGATGTTTGCCTAAATCCGTGGTGATCTCGCCTACTTCTGTGTAGAATTGAACATCAACATGCTTCTTCTTGCCAAACATAATGGCATGTTTCAGGTGGAAGTGCAACAAAATAATCATTTCACCATCACATGGTTGAAAGAATGAACTCTTGATGTTGTTATAGAGAATATCCACCTTATCGCCACGTACAGATATATAGCGAAAGCCGTTCGTATGTGCCTCTAAACTGCCCGTCATACGTTTTGTTACAATGTTCGGGCGTATATATAAATCTTTGAGTTTAGGATTACCCTTATTCTGCGATAATATGAGTGTATCCTGCTTGACAAGATCTTCCTTTTCGCGTTCTTCTGCTTCACGCGTCTTGAAACGCTTCTGTACTTCTTTAATCAGACGGAAAATGTTGTTAAGATTGGACGAAGGTGCAGAGATTTCGCCGTGCTCTTTCACATTTGAGGAACGATAGGTGCTAATAAAGAAAATTGTATAAAATTAATACACATGAAGTGTAACAGGCGTAAAATTTAATGAAAAAAAAATAATTAAAACTTACACTTCCTTGAGGAATGTCGCCTCTGGTTGTGGGTATAGACCACCTTCGTTGCGTCCCATAGTGGCACCGGGATGAAAGAAGTTAATACGTAGGTAGGTGTATTCGCCTTCTACAGATTGTGAAATATTTTTGATCGTAGAAATGTGGAAGGGTACTGGTATGCCAAATACCGGCAAAATTACGGTCTCGTACTTTTTGTCCACGTATAACTTCAACTCCTTTACCTCTGGTTCACGTGGCATTTGGCTGACAGATTTATACGAGACAGTATTTTTACGCACCTTTTCGACTTCCTTCGATTCTCCCTGTTTAGCTAGACGCTCGCGTGCTTTCTCATTCAAAAGCTGTGCTAATTCTTTTTGATGCTGTTTGCGTTTTTCCTCGGTATTAGTCTCTGTACGCAACTTATTTTCAAGTACAGCATTACGTTTGCTACGCCCCAATATTTCGGAGCCCTTATCTTCTTTCACTTCCTCCTTCTCATCGCCATCCTCTTCATCACTATCGTCCTTAATAAAAATGCCGATATTTTTTATTTTCTTCTTCGAAGGTGTCATTATATTAGCTGGAGAAGAGTCTCCAACCAGCACAGTGTCACCAATAAACAGCGCATATGTTTTGCCCTCCTTCTCTGATGCATCAGAATTAGTGAGATTTGCGATGCCTACGTTCACATTGAATACCATATTCTTTTTCACTTCAGCATGACATTTCGGACCTATTACAATCGAGTTCTCTCGAAATTCAATGCCCATGGCAAAGCCGAAAGTCTTGGTAAAGTTATCGTACAGTTTGGGTTTCTCTTTCTTTATATATTCTACGGTGGTGTCGTAAATTTCATTCAGCTTAGCGCCGGGTTTTAGTAATTTTAAAATTTCCTCCTGTACATTTACCAGAAAGTTGTAGTTTTCTTGCATTGTGTCGGTGGGATTTACTAAAAATGTGCGCGATATATTTGAGCAGTAAAATTTGTAACGTGCGCCCAACGAACAAACAATAGCGCCGAAATGCAAATAGTTTTTATCGCTCAACGCAGAAAATTTCAGGCTATAAGATCCACCAGATTGTATTATTGGGGTGTAACACATTTCTAAAACCGAGGTGTCAACACCGGAAACATATTTCTTATCGGTGAGTGCCGATTCAACACCGTCTGACAATTTAGCGTGTTTGATTTTCTAAAACGTGAAAGCAAACTGGGTTATAATCTGCTCAACCTTTTACATTTTCTATATTTATACCTTATCCGAGTCAATTATATCCATAATCTCATCTTTAAGGTACTTGTTAAATAGATCTACAGATACCAAAGATGCTTTTCGTATATTGTTAATCTCCGGTTCGTCTTTCGGGCACATGATGTACGCCAACGCTGCACCAACATCTAAATTTTCGAAACTCTCACCCTTCAAAGCTGCCTTCCATGAATCACAGAACTCACTGGTGGATACATCTTTAGCAAAAACACCCAGTGTTTTGCCATTTTTTCGATGATTTTATTACTTCCTTTAATTTGTCAAAGTTGGCCTTATCTTTATCGTTCTAAAAATAATTTATTATATGGTATGTATATGTGCTAATAGTTTTTCTTCCAATCTCCCTCTTACCCTATCGCGCAGCAATAGTTTTATTTCGGGTACTCCTTCCTCCTTGACATTTTCAATCTGTTTAAGAAATTCGATTTTCTTCTTGCTGGCCAGGAAATAGACTGTATCTTTAGCAAATATGGATATGGTATCAGTGAGTTCATAGCCAAGAAGCCATATCTCAAGCGCCCGCGACTTGGAATAGACTATGTCCTCATCCACGCCTACAACACACATGATGCAGTCCACCTTTTTTAATGTATCATCATGGGCAATGGCTGGTTCCTGTCGAAAAAAAAGCGGGTTTAATGACGGTTTTTTAAATTTTACAAGTGGCGTGCGGCCACACATGTACATACAAACACGCATTTTGCAAATTTTTACAGGTTATACATAGTGGGTATAAAATATCGCATTGCATTGTGCAGATAACTCACCCGCCATTCTGAATACAATCGTTTTATCCGGCGCAAAAACGTATTTTTGTCCAAAGCGTAATTAGACATTTTTGCAGCTGCTGATCCTACGGCTTGCTAACTGCAACCAACACGCTTGTTTGATAGAATGAGTTGTAGGTATGTATGTAACACAGTGCGCAAAAGAAAAATGTTAAATTGCGTCTTTAAAGGACGCAGCTAAGTTCTCAATTTATTATCCACACACAAAACAGATGTACTTTTTCCCGATTTTAACACTGAATTCACAGTTCAATTTCTGCAACAATGCCGGTGAAATGCAAAAATTCCTCCAGACAATTCGCGACCATCAAACGACGCACACCAACTTAGTGATGACACGATTAATCAAAAAACGCATAATAATCGGTAATCTTTTTCGGTTAATTGGCCCTCTTCACCTAATTGAAAATTTCGCTGGTATTCTACGTTTTTTTTTGCACGCGAAATGGGTTATAACCCTGCCAGCATTTTCAATTATGCAAGTTACTAGGTCGACACCACATTTCTTTGAAAATAATTCTAAAGGCCCCGACAGACAGAAAATATTTTCTGCATCACAGGGATGCTTTTGACTGACAAAACATGCAGAACATGACGAGACGGCACAATGAAAACGTTGCTGCAAACAAACCGGCTAAGTTGCAGCAATGCATGCGTAGCCAATCTGGCGTCTTCTATTCAAAATCCCATAGTTAGCTTGGATGTCAGCCAAAATGTCACATGCCTGAAAATCTTGCTTGCGTTCTGCTTTTTTCTCTCGCAATCGAGATAGAGTTTTGTTGAATGGGCACAGCATACTTTTCACAAAAAAAAAGGTTCTAGCTTTGCAGGCTAAAGTTGTTTTTTCCACCAAAATAAACGATGTTGCTACTCTGAATGCACGTGAAAACGTCCGGTTACATTTGGCATTTCTCCTCTTCTTCGCAAAAATAATCGATAAAACTAGGTTGGACACCGAAAAGTTATCGGTTTAATCTGGGATTATTTTTTAATAACAGATTAACGAGGGACGAATTTTGTATGGCCTACAGTGATGCCTGCCGAGGGAAAATTCCCCGATTTTAGTGGAATTTGAATTTCTCGGGGTAATCGGGAAGTGCATTTAAATTTTGGGGAAAGTCAATGAAACCGTGTGGATTTTGAAGAAATTACATCCGTGCATGCCGACACTTTTCACCTTTGTAAAGAATTGTTACAGAAACGAGCTACTGCTGGATGTCAAAATGATGTGTTTGTTGTAATATGAGCTCGGCTTGTTTTACAACAAACACATCATTTTGACATGCAGCAGTACCGCGGCGAAAATCAAAATTCGCCAGTAACACCGCCAAGGCGAATTTATACAAGGTGGTGTTGATGGCGAATTTAGATTTTCGCTGCTGTACTCCTTAATGTCAAAATGATGTGTTTGTTGTAAACAAGGCGAATTCATATTACAACAAACAAATCATTTTGACATTGAGAAGTACCGCGGCGAAAATCTAAATTCGCCAGTAACACCACCTTGTATAAATTCGCCTTGAACACCACCTTGTACAAATATTCGCCTTGTACAGAGCAAGGCGAATCTATACAAGGTGGTGTTAACGGATCCGCTGATTTCACGGCGAATTTGTACCTCTTGTCAAAATGATGTGTTTGCTGTTATTTTGTACTGATTGTCAATGTGGGTATTATTTGTTTTTGTAATTCTTGTTTTTGTTCTGTCAACACCACCTTGTATAAACTCGCTTTGGTACAGAGCTATTATTCCGCCAAGGCGAATTTATACAAGGTGGTGTTGATGGCGAATTTAGATTTTCTCCTAGGTACGTCTTAATGTCAAAATGATGTGTTTGTTGTAAAATGAATTCGTCTTGATTACAAAAAACACATCATTTTGACATTCAGTAGTACTGCGGCGAAAATTTAATTCGCCATCAACATCGCCTTGGTTGAAGCGTAGCGAATTTTTATACCCGGCCGTTTTCCAATGCTTGAAAATATCGCCCGGACGTGTAGACCGCAAAAAGTACGAAGCATACTTTTTCTCGCATACCGAGTGGTTTGCGAGATCTCGCAAGCTTTCAACTATCAATTTGAATTTTGTTGTTTGACAGGTATTTTCTCATTTCGCAGAATTCTTCAGAGAAAAAACATCGTTTATTTGAGAGAAAATACAAATTTGGCCTGAACAGGCTCGAACCTTCTTTTTTGGCGACATTTTACATATGAAAAAGTACGCTGTCAAGTGCCTAGCCAACAAAACTCTATCTCGCTTGCAAGAGACAAAAACAGAACGGAAGCGAGATTTTCAAGCATGTGAAGACGGCCGGTAAGGTGTTGTTCAAGGTGAATTTTCGTTTTCACATGCTTGAAAATCTCGCTTGTGTTCTGCTGAGATAGAGTTTTGTCGGCTGGGCATTTATATTATAAATGCATGTATTCATAATCAGCTGTCGAAGAGACGCCAACGCCTATACAACGCCAAAGTTGTATGTAAACGGACCTTAACCCATTCGCGCGTATTTTGGTTCCTAACCGATTCGGCCTAGCGCAGTTTGATCCCAAATGGGACTTTATTCAGCTGATAACAGGGTTGCAAGTTGAATGGAGAATCGAAAATCCACCAATAAGTTTTAGGAAGGTCGGCAACAGGGTTGCCACTGACGAAAAAAAATATTTACCATCCACCTGAAAAAAATCTACCAAATCTGGGAAATATCTACCAATAACTTTTTTATAATTATTTTAACAAAAACCATAGTTTTGTTATTTTTTTTATTTATTTTAATTGAAACTAAAGTTTTTTTATTTTTTTTTTTTAGTTATTCCAATAAGAATTAAAATTGTTTTTAAGAACTTTTTATTTAACTAGTTATACGGTATTTGAATCATATTATTTGTTGGCATATTCTCAGTTTCCTTCAACCAAAAGCGGAAGTGATGAAACTAAAGGCAACAATGAAACTTTATTATTTGAAAAACTTCAACGCGAGTTGTTATAGACAAATACTGTGACTTAAAAAAGTGATTTTTTTTTGTAATGTTCGCAATATTTTTCGAGTAAAATTTTTTTATTGCTATATTTTTATTGCTATAACTTAATCCAAAAAAATCGGGGATTCAAACTATATACAACATACACAAAAATTCCAAAAATTTTCGTCAAAATTTCGAATTTTTTAGAACAATTTAAGGTATGGAGTTTTAAAGCAAATACTATTTGAGTATAGCCAACAATGTGCTGCTTCAAATTCCCGTTAATTTTTTTATATTTTTTTCCATAAATAAAAAATGGCGATGATTTATTTTTTTTTTTGTGAACAATCATAAGGCGTAATTACATATGTACCTGTCCATTTTTTCTTTATATTTAAATAATCATTCAAAATATTTAGGCAATCAAAATTCCAGTAAAATTAGTTTTGAATGGAGCGCGATATGTTCGCCATATATCGATATACATTTATTATAAAGATAATTACGTATAATAAATCGGGAACGGAAAGTTCATCAAAAATCTACCAAAATGAGAAAAAATTTACCTTTTTACCAACCGAAATTTTTTCTACCAATTTTGGTAACAATTTACCAAAGTGGCAACCCTGGTCGGCAACACTAGAAGTGCTTTTTTTCGCCGAGCATTTTCATTTTTCGCCGCGCAAAGAAGCGTTTGCTGTTTTTGTTGTAGTTGGCCTTTTAACGCAAAAATTGTCACAACGCGGTTGATAAACAAAAAGGAAAATTTTAATAAATTTAACTAATTTCTATTTGTGAAAAAGTGAGGCAGCTCCGACGCCTACATATAATATAAAATGCAGGCGCATAGCAAAAAGCGTGTCTGCTATTATTATGATAGTAAGTGATTAGAAATGGATGGGGCTTTCGGTTGTTAATAATTTAGATAATATTTTTCAAATCAGGACAAAGGTGTAAGAGGAATTCTTCTAAATATATTTACGTTAATAGCGTTGCGATTTCCATCAACAAAAAGTGGTAGTATAAATGCTAATTTTACTAAAAAGTCGAATTTTATAATTTGGCAATTTTGTGCTGACTGTACGCGGGCGCCTATATCGCAGCGCACTTTCGTAAAACAACCATACTATGTATGACAACTGGTAGCGCACTTCGGGCGATTCTTCGGTCAAATATAGCATCAAAAGTGCGCTGTCACTGAATCTACTATGCGGACTCTAACTGTATGGCGAAAATTTTGCAAGATTTATCCGTTTTTGTATCTACATACATACATATGTATGCGCACTTGAGAATATTTATAATTGTAATTTTAACTACTACTAGTATTAATTTAAACCCTTGAAAGTACTATGTATATGATTTGAAATAGCTAGGCGTTATGAAATACTTTTATTTCTTTGCTATAATACTTATCCATGTTGTTTTTCTTACTTCTAGGTGATATTGGTAATTACTACTATGGGCAGGGCCATCCAATGAAGCCTCATCGCATACGTATGACCCATAATTTGCTTTTAAATTACGGTCTATACCGCAAAATGGAAATTTATGTTAGTTTTTCATTTTATTCTTTAAACTTCAAACTAATTTATTTGTTATTTTTTATATAACAGCGACCACACAAAGCCACTGCCGACGAAATGACAAAGTTCCATTCGGATGAGTACGTACGGTTTTTGCGCTCCATACGTCCGGACAATATGTCAGAATATAACAAGCAAATGCAGCGATTCAATGTCGGCGAGGATTGCCCAGTTTTTGATGGTCTCTATGAGTTTTGTCAGTTATCCGCTGGGGGTTCCGTAGCCGCTGCCGTCAAACTAAATAAACAAGCTTCCGAGATTTGCATAAATTGGGGTGGTGGATTGCATCATGCTAAGAAATCTGAAGCTTCGGGGTTCTGTTATGTCAATGATATTGTACTTGGCATTTTGGAACTCTTGAAATATCACCAGCGCGTGTTATATATCGATATAGACGTTCATCACGGTGACGGTGTTGAGGAGGCGTTTTACACTACCGATCGCGTCATGACCGTAAGCTTCCATAAATACGGCGAGTATTTTCCCGGCACAGGTGACTTGCGTGATATCGGCGCTGGCAAAGGCAAATACTATGCTGTGAATATACCACTACGTGATGGCATGGACGATGAAGCATACGAATCCATATTTGTACCAATCATTTCAAAGGTGATGGAGACGTTCCAACCTGCAGCGGTTGTACTCCAGTGTGGTGCAGATTCATTGACAGGTGATCGCCTTGGGTGCTTTAACTTGACTGTCAAGGGTCACGGAAAATGTGTAGAATTCGTAAAGAAATACAGCTTGCCCTTCTTAATGGTTGGAGGTGGTGGATATACGATTCGTAATGTATCGAGGTGTTGGACATATGAAACGTCAGTTGCGCTCGGCGTAGAAATTGCAAACGAACTGCCGTACAATGATTACTTTGAATATTTCGGTCCAGATTTTAAGTTGCACATCAGCCCGAGTAATATGACTAATCAAAACACTTCAGAGTATTTGGAAAAGATCAAAAATAGGTAATAGAAATGTTTATTGGTGGCCAAGTAGAAATTTTCTAATGCGCATTTAAACATTTCTAGACTTTTCGAAAACTTGCGTATGCTGCCACATGCTCCCGGTGTACAAATTCAAGCCATACCGGAAGATGCTATCAATGATGAATCCGAGGATGAAGATAAGATCAACAAAGACGAAAGAATACCCCAAAGCGATAAAGATAAACGAATTGATCCTGATAACGAATTCTCAGATTCAGAGGATGAAGGCGACGGTGGCCGCCGCGACAATCGATCTTACAAAGGTCAACGCAAGCGACCACGTTTGGAAAAAGAGAGCAAAACAGTTACAGAGAATACCGATAATAAGGATGACAAAGAGAAGAGTAAGGATTCGATTTAAATAACGCAAAATTTTCAAAATTTATAACTTGCACTTATTTTATAGTGGATACAAATGAAAGTGAGGAAACTGGTAAAAGCGAAGACGCAAAAAAAGAGAACAACATATGACGTGGCGGTCGCAATTGGTTATAGAAACCAATACAGCGTTCCACGAAATTTAAACCTAAAATATTTTAGCATCTTTAGTGATTTCTTCCATTTATCCTTACGAAGTGTGGCGGTAGTAACGTGCTCGACATAGAGGGAGTGTGTTGCTCCGGGAAAGTGGAATTGAAAATATATAATACGCTGCCGTCAAAAACGTACTTTTAATAGTTATAATTATTTAGGCTATGCGCGAAAGAACTTGTTACATGCTTTTTTTTTAACAGCATCATTAACAGCGACGTTTGTATTATTTGTGAATTTAGTACGATCTTTGAAATCATACTTAAATAAAGATAATATTTTACGCGCATTCGTACCGTATATGTATGTATGTACGTATATATTTATATGTAGTTACTGCTATACTCACATAAATACATGATGTCATCCTTGTCACATTAAATTAATATAGGAATGTAAAATTAAATTTCTTAATGGAAGAATGGACTATGCTTGTAACTTTTTTATTTTCTGTAGTCTAAATGAAAAAAAGATGTAATAAAATGTGTGTGTTTTGTAAGTGGATAGCTAACCATAAGCCGCTAGCTTTTCTTGTTATTGTTTTAAAATGCTGGTGAGTAAGCTTTAGATGCAATGCGGAGCAGCCAAATCGGTTGGTGGGAAATGTAATAGTTGGAGTATTTTCCCATCACTGTCGAAATCTGCCGGGTGCTGCTGTCAGGACTTGATAGCTGCGACATCCGCAATACTGGTTTGGTCTTGCGATGAAAAAATCGTCGCAGTAGCAAGTGCATTGCAAGGGGTATCAGCTTTTCGAGTATGTCTTCTATTCTAGTGGAAAGCTTCAGAACTCGCCAGTTCCGCCACCTAGAATTCGACCCACGCAGGGCATTGATGAGGCGATTGTTAATAAAAGGGCTGCTCTTTTTTCAGCTTGTATAAGGATTTTGCGCCTCGTTCACCCCTCAGCAGCACTGTTGTTGTTGTTGTTGCTGTAGTGGCTACAACAACCCCGCCCAGATCGGTTAATATCTCAGTCGTTGTCGTCAAGCTCAACTAACGGAAGCCCTAAGAAGCGTGCAGCCTCAATGGGGTCGGCCAAAGGGACAAAGGCGTTAGCAGTGTCGGGTTTTCCGGGCATACGAAGAGATGTTTCGAGTCGTGGGGTGTCTCTCCGCATGCCGGACACTCATTTGGAACATCTGCGTCTAATCTGCTCAAGTATGAGCATCCGTCTCGTCGATGTCCGGTGGTTGTGCGCCTAGAACGGCGTTCACAGGTCTGGAGTCTACATAACTCGAGACTGACTCGCTGTGAATGCCGCTCAGGGCCTGTCGATAAGCCGGCGGGTCCAGATGTTGTTTAATGAACCTGTGGACTTCGTCCTTCAGTTCGTGTGCTGATGTGCTTGGGCGAAGGCTCTTCTGCAAGCATTTGTCTATTTGGATGACCACGTCCCAACTAGAAACTGCTTGCAGAGCATTGTGTTGTGCTCCTTTATGGGGAGGTGGTGTTCTGGCGACATCAGAAGGCATCCAGTCGCTGTCCTAAGTGCAGTGTTTTGCGTCGTCTGCAGCTTCATCCACTGCGTCCTACTAGTCTCCGGCGACCACACTGGTGTTGCGTAATTTAAAACTGCAGTACTTGTCTTTGCCACAAGTACTGTCGGGTAGCGACGTGAGGACCTTGTTGCGTCTCTGTACACTGAGAAAATGAAACAAGTGAAACGCACGTTTTCAAAAAATATTTAAAAACAAAAATTTTTATAATTGTTTTACTCTATATAAATTTAAAAACGCACAATTTGTCTATACGAAATTTAAACGAAGCATTCGGAAAACTACAACAGAAGTATTATCATATTTTGTATTGGGGGGGGAAAAGCAATGGAAGAGAAGAAGTTATCATCTAAAATGTGTATTTTCAAAACTAAAACGAAACAATTTAAAATTTTTACCATACAAATTATAAAGCTTCGAAGTATTCAGCCAACGAAGCAAAATGAAATATTTTTAAAATAAAATCGAAAACTTTGACTCGCAAAGTGTAAATGGAAAACTTTAAAAAACGAGTGTGTTAGCATTTCTATTCAAAAAAAATATTTATTTCAAAAATAGAACTTAAAATGGAGCAACTATTAAAAAAATTCGAGCTAGAGCACCTGCAGCCTCAGCTTATAGGTAAGTGCTATTATTAAAAGACTTATGTATAACTATGTAGTTAATAAGTTAGTGATTTACAGAAGCTGGAATAGAATATCGGCATCTCATCTTTTTAAATGAAAGGGACATTGCTGATGCAATAAAAAAGATAGGTGACCGAGCTGAATTTCGAGTTAAACTGCTCGAATGGAAGAAATCTTTGGTAAGAGTTTCTTATACAAAAAATTATACATACATATGTATGTTTGTATATATTTTAAAATATTCATATTTGGTTTTGTATCTAATTATAGAATCTAACCAGCGATACGCAGAAGGAACAGGATATCTTTGGAGGAAAGGTGAGTAAACAGTATTTACAAAAATGTATCCTCTGGTTATGAAAGTTTGTTTTGGTCATGCATTTCTTATATTTTTAGACGCTATCTGAACTGTTGGCCCAAACCGATACTGGTTGTTCCATACAAAGTTATTATAGAGAGCATAAATGTCTCACAGATATTAAACGAGACAAAATTGTACAAATTATTTTGGAAAACACGTTTGTCAACTGTAAGCAACTGACACCAAACGATTTTGATTGCATTTTAAAAGAAATTTTAAACGTTTTCCCAGAGGAAAGGAAAGTGTCCGTAAGTGCAACTTATATGTATATGTACTGTCAGTCAATAAAGTTTAGGTACAGCGAATTTTTCGCAATATCGGCAACTATTTTTTAAATATTTAATTTTTCGCTAATTTTGTATAAAAATATGGTTAATTCTACAACAAAAACCAAAAAAATCAGAGCTCCAAACCTTGCGCCAAATTAAAGAAAATTCTGGAAATTTTCATTCAAATATTGCACTTTATATTTACACTCTTTAGAAAAAAGTTGAGTATGCAGCTTTTTAGCCCATTCAATTTTAGTGTATCTAATAAAGTGCAAGTTTTAAGTAGCTAGGACTTACCATTGATTTTTGGCAATTTTTTTTGTTGGCGGTGTCGCTCATTTTCTCCATAAAAAATAAAAATTAGCGACACCTTCAACAAAAAAATTACCAAAAATCAATGGTAAGTCCCAGCTTCCTGACTTGCACTTTGTTAAACTAAAATTTAATGGGCTAAAAACTGCATACTCAACTTTTTTCTAAAGAGTGTAAATAAAAAGTGCAATATTTGAATGACAATTTCCAGAATTTTCTTTAATTTGGCGCAGGGTTTGGAGCTCTGATTTTTGGGGATTTGTTGTAGAATTAACCATATTTTTATACAAAACTAGCGAAAAATAAAATATTTAATAAACAGTTTCCCGTATTGCAAAGAACTCTCTGTACCTAAACTTTATTGATTGACTGTATATGCATTAAAAATTTAAATTATTTGAGTACTATACAGGATTTTTATTATATACCTCGGCGTGGTAAAAAACCTCCAAGTGGTCGACTGTTTACCAAGTATACTAATACAAAGTACCGAAAAAGAAAATTGGATGAAACGCAAAGTCTCGAAATAGCTTCTCAAAGAGAAAGATCCCCGGAACTTCCAGACAATATAACAAATTTAAAATCCGAACTTTACTGGCCGCTTGCTGCTTGGGATACTGTTTGCGATAGATGGTCTCGCACATATCAGTTAAGACAAAAGGACTTGGAGAAATTCGATAACTATGCGTTCTTGGCAGAGTGGCCCCTTCTGAAAGATGCACGGGCACCAGACCAGAAATAAAGGTTCTTTATTGGGGAAATAAACATTTTTATGGAAATTCTGTAACGGAAGAGCGATGCAACGGGAGTGCATCCATTTTCCCGTTCTCTATGTCCAAAACGAAGACTATAATTATAAGTTATTTTTCTTCTGCAGATCAACATAGATTTTGAAATTAAACATCCGGGCAAACAAAATAAGCTAAAAGAAAAGTGGGAATCTTTCAGAGATGTCTTGACAAGATATTACTATACAAAATCTATCAATACCCTTTCTAAAGAATTACTAAAAGAAGCAGAGGAGTCCGGAAATATTGGTAAGTATATAAATTCATATCTATCAGCACTTCAGAGTAAAACAATTCAAAAGTCTAAATATTTTTCTTCTTTTTCATCAGATCAACTAAATTATGTCTTGCTACAGCTATTAAACACTGTGATTCCATCAAAAGGTTTTGGTGGGAAATCTTTTTCAATATTGGATGCGAACCAATTCTTTGTCGTTCCAATAGCTAACATCAGCAATATCTATGTAAAAATCGAAGAGTTAGAATCGAAATGCTTAAGCCTCAAGACATCTTTGCAGCCGTTGATTATAGCTGAAGGGTTCGACAGTGAGAAACGTTTTTATGTTTACTTTGACAAAGTGTTTTTAAAGTTTGAATCATTTCTTAACGCTTTTGATTGTACGTTCAAGCTTTTCCAAAGTCTTAATCTAAAATCTCCAGATCCTTGCGTTTTGGCTTGGACATTTGTACAAATATTTATTTATGATATAATTACTCCTAATGACGCCCGATCAGCGTCTTTAAGCTTACTTTTGAACTACTTTTCCGATAAGCTTTAAATATACAAAATGTTTTTATGTTTTAAGTGTGACAATACTTTTGTCACGACAGATTTGTATATAAAACATCTAAAAAACGTTCATATTCTTAACAACGCGGATGCAAAAACATGCGTCCAAAACAAGTGTAATAAGTTATTCTCTCGGTTTGCTACATTTAAGCGTCATCTGGAAAGTCATGATATTAATAGTTTAATTCCAAAACGCTCAAAAGTAATTAACATTTTGCAAAACGAAAAAAACGTAAACATTGATCATGGGCATAGACATAGCATATGTGAGATGGCGCCATCAAATCCTTCCGTGACTGTCTCGGAAACAGTTTATGCTCCAAACTCTGAAGAAAGTAGCTCGTGCATAGATATAAAAGACGCATTACTTGAATTTTCAACTACTTTGTATGCAAAAAATAGTATTTCCAGAAAAGACGCAGCTTTTGTATTGCAAAAGCTATTAGCAATACTTAAAATTATTTATAATTGTTTAATTAATATTAGCAGTTTACAACCTGAACTAATGTCATTATTGAACTGCTTGGATAGCGCTTTTAAAGACATTGAAACTGAGCCTAAGTTAGTAAAAAATTTAGAAAAAAAATTTCTTTTTAAACATTCACATGAAATTGTGATAAACAACGAAATAACTGAACAAATCATTCGAGGAAATCCCACTTTGCATGCTAAAGAAAGAAAAGTGTATATCATGCCTCTTTTATTTCAGTTTAGGAGGTTTTTTGAGCTTCCTAATGTATTACAAGAAACCGAAGCAAATACAATCTCTTTGTTAGAAAACACAAAAATTTCGAATCTGATTAATGGTGAAACTATGCAGAAAACTTTTGCCAACAAACAAAATTTCGACATAATTATACCTTTTAATGTTT